GTTATTTCCACTTTTGACTGTTGTGAATAATGCTAATAGAAACAAATGTACAAGTGTTTGGGTGGTCATATGTTTTCCATTCTCTAGTGAGTTAATTTTTGGGCCATTCAGTTATTATGCTTAAGTTTTTAAAGAACTGCCAAATTGTTATCCAGCGCAGTGTGTGTTTGTTTTCCTGCTAACACACACTAATGTGTGTGGATTCCAGTTTCTCCACATCCTTGCCAGCACTTCTTATCTGTCTGTAAAATACCCATCCTAGGGGTGTCTATGATGTGATATCTTGTTGTGGTTATAATTTCTATGCTGTATTTTGATTTAATATGACTGGAAATGCAGTGGTAAAAGGGATTTGAGTACTTTTAACTTACAAGACATTGTATTTCCCATTCCTTCTCCTGGTTTTTGGAAGATACTTGCAAATATGCTATACCTTTGCAATTAGGTATATTCCCATAAAATTTTATGTGGAATCACAATTTTATTCTATTGAGCAAACAATTTAAACCCACTTGTTTTGAATCCAGTTATAACTCACATTTGAACTACAGCTTATTTTCTTAGAGTTCTTCAAGTAGGGGACATGGATGTAAATTGGTAAGTTATGTGTATAAGTTAGTAAATGCTTTTAGTGCTCTTGTTTGGAACCTTCTAGAAAGTCATACTAGGGGTTATCTTTTTGATGGCTGTCATCAAAATAAAATGGGTGAAGAGTGACGAAAAGAACACAGGATTCACCACCAAAGCTATAAGGCTCGGTGAATGGCAGTCCTGTGTCTTCTGAGGGTGCAGCTTGAAGGGGAGTGGTGGTTTTGTTGACTTCCCTAAACTTTAGCTTTCTCATTAGTAAATAATGAAGATAGTACTTCATGGGTTATTGTAAGGATTAAGTGGAAAAGCACATTTGAACCATAATGTACTTAGTATGAATGTGAATTTCCTGTCCCTTCTCCTGTTGCATCTCATAAGCAACTACACAAACTATTGTGTATACCTAATGCTAATGATAGAAATTTAGGAAGACACAATACAACTTTTAAGGCTGTTACTCTAAAGACTATTAACAAATTATATTTATACACAAGCATGCGTACATATACATACACATATAAATGTACACTTAAAAATATTTCCATTTGTATACATAAAAAAATATTTCCAATTTTAGGATAGAGGAGGCTCTTTTTTAAAATTTTTATTTTTGTGGGGATCATGAGATTCTGTTTTTATATTTTTATTTTTAGTTGGAGGATAATTGCTTTACAATATTGTGATGGTTTCTGCCATATATCAGCATGAATCAGCCATAGGTATACATATGTTCCCTCCCTCTTGGACCTCCCCCTCCCACCTCCCACCCCATCCCACCCCTGCCTCTCTAGGTTCTCAGCAGCAGATCCCACTAGCTATCTGTTTTACATATAGTCATATGTATGTTTCAATGCTAGGTTCTCAAATCATCCCACCCTCTCCTTCCCCCTCTGCATCCAAAACTCTGTTCTTTACGTCTGCATCTCCTTTGCTGCCCTGCACATAGAAACATCAGTACCATCTTTCTAGAGTCCATATAAATGTGTTAATATAGACTTGTTTTTCTCTTTCTGACTTACTTCATGCTGTGTAATATAGGCTCTAGGTTCATCTACCTCATTAGAACTAACTCACGTGTGTTCCTTTTTATAGCTGAGTAGTATTCCTTATCCATTCATCTGCCAGTGGACGTCTAGGTTGCATCCATTGCCCAGCTGTTGTAAATAGTGCTGCAGTGAACATTGGGGTGTATGTGTCCTTTTCAATTATTGTTTCCTTGAGATATATGCCTAGTAATGGGGTTATTGGGTCATATGATAATTTCCAGCCAAAGGACTAGAAAAGGTCAGTTTTCATTCCAGTCCCAAAGAAAGGCAATGCCAAAGAATGTTCAAACCACTGCACAATTGCACTCATCTCACATGCTAGCAAAGTAATGTTTAAAATTCTCCAAGCCAGGCTTCAACAGTATGTGAACCGTGAACTTCCAGATGTTCAAGCTGGTTTTTAGAAAAGGCAGAGGAACCAGAGATCAAATTGCCAACATTTGTTGGATCATCGAAATAGCAAGAGAGTTCAAGAGAAAAACATCTACTTATGTTTTATTGACTATGCCAAAGCCTTTGACTCTGTGGATCTCAACACACTGGAAAATTCTTCAAGAGATGGGAATACCAGACCACCTGACTTGCCTCCTGAGAAATCTGTATGCAGGTCAAGAAGCAACAATTAGAACTGGACATGGAACAACAGACTGGTCCCAAATTGGGAAAGGAGTATGTCAAGGCTATGTATTGTCACCCTGCTTATTTAACTTATATGCAGAGTGCATCTTGTGAAATGCCGGGCTGGATGAAGCACAAGCTGGGATCAAGATTGCCAGGAGAAATATCAATAACCTCAGATATGCAGATGACACCACCTTTATGGTGGAAAGTGAAGAAGAGCTAAAGAGCCTTTTGATGAAAGTGAAAGAAGAGAGTGAAAATTTGTCTTAAAACTGAACATTAAGAAAACTAAGATCATGGCATCTGGTCCCATCACTTCATGGCAAATAGATGGGGCAGCAATGGCAACAGTGACAGACTTTGCTTTTTGGGGCTCCAAAATCACTGCAGATGGTGACTGCAGCCATGAAATTAAAAGACGCTTGCTCCTTTGAAGAAAAGCTATGACAACCTAGACAGCATATTAAAAAGCAGAGACATTACTTGGCTGACAAAGGTCCATCTAGTTAAAGCTATGGTTTTTCCAGTAGTCATGTATGAATGTGAGAGTTGGACCATAAAGAAAGCTGAGTGCTGAAGAATTGATGCTTTTGAACTGTGGTGTTGGAGAAGACTCTTGAGAGCCCCCTGGGACTGCAAGGAGGTCCAACCAGTCAATCCTAAAGGAAATCAGTTCTGAATATTCATTGGAAGGACTGATGCTGAAGCTGAAATTCCAATACTTTGGCCACGTGATGCAAAGAACTGACTCATTGGAAAAGATCCTGATGCTGGAAAGACTGAAGGCAAGAAGAGAAGAGGATGACAGAGGATGAGATGGTTAGATGGCATCACTGACTCAATGGACATGAGTTTGAGTAAGGTCTGGGAGTTGGTGATGGACAGGGAAGCCTGGCGTGCTGCGGGTCATGGGCTTGCAAAGAGTCAGACACGACCGAGCGACTAAACTAAAGTGATGGCAGTTTTATTCCTAGTTTTTTCTTTTAAGGAATCTCCATGCTGTTCTCCACAGTGGCCTTATCAATTTGCATTCCCACCAACAGTGTAAGAGGGTTCCCTTTTCTCCACACCTTCTCCAGCATTTACTATTTGTAAATTTTTGATGAATAGCCAAAGCAATCTTGAAAAAGAAGAATGGAGCTGGAGGAACCAACCTTTCTGACTTCAAACTATACTACAGAGCTACAGTCATCAAGACAGTATGGTACTGGCACAAAAACAAATATAGACCAGTGGAACAAGATAGAAAGCCTGGAAATAAATCCATGCACCTATGGGTACCTTATCTTTGACAAAGGAGGCAAAAATATACAATGGAGAAAGGACAAGTCGTGCTGGGAGAGCTGGCCAGCCACCTGTAAAAGAATGAAACTAGAACACTTTCTCACACCGTACACAAAAGTAAACTCAAAATGGTTTAAAGATCTAAATGTAAGGCCAGAATCTATAAAACGTTTAGAAGAAATAACATAGGCAGAATACTCTTTGACATAAATTACAGCTAGATCGTCTATGACCCACCTCCTAGAATGATGGAAATAAAAATAAATAGAGGAAGCTCTTAACCAGGTTTGGAAACCTGGACACTACAAAGGCATGCCCATTTGACTTTCAGAATTTTAAGGTGACCGTATACAAAATTAATAGATAGGTGTTTGATGAAAAATATTTTAAAGATGGAGGATGAGACAGTTAGTTTTGATAACAAAGAATGGATACAGGTTGACCAGAGGGGAAAAAATAAGCAAAACCTGAGGCTGGAATGGAGTAAGCAACACACAGAATTATAGGAGTGAAAGCTCATAGCACAAGTAGACGGGAAAGGCAAGTTAACATAGCACATGTCTGTAAGACTGCAGACATGAAAATAAGGTCCATATAATAGCCTGTGCCAGACTCATTTGGTGCTAGGGCAGCTGAATTGGTAAAATCTTTTTGAAAAGCAATTACACAGTATCTTTTAATTATCAAAAAACTTTTAACCCAATAGGGCCACTCCTGATAATGAGGAGAAAGCAGTATATAATAAGGATATGTAGTCAACAATATATTTTTATAAATATATTTACAAAATCATTGTAGTGGCAAAAAAAAAGCCTGAAAATGAATAGTTGAATGAATATTCAGAGTAGATCTACACCATGAAGTAGTTTGTAACCATTACAAAGAGAAAATTAGAGTGACACCAGTTGATTTTTAGGGATTTCTGTTAGATATTATGGAATAAGAAAACTGAGAGGCAGAAGAATCTGTAAGATGACAATATTTGATAAAACAGTGGCAGTTCCCCTTGTATATTTATTTTTGTATATTTTTTATAAATGACAAACATGGAGAAATTTATGGAAGAATATATATTTGTAAACATAGGTTATATTGCAGAGTGGGCAAAAAAGCAAAACAAGAAAACATATATGATGTGAAAACATTTATGCATTTATATAATATTGCATATGTATTTATAAAAAGAAAATGTCTAGAAAACAGACATACTTTTATCTTTATTGTCAACAAAAAGATGGTAACAATTTGTTTTTAAGGAAAAAATAAAAAATTTCATATATGGGACCTTATTTATGATAAAACAATTCCACAGTTCACCCTCAGAGAAGAAAAGTTTTCATATTAACAACTGATACAAAATATTCCAAATGTATAATAAATAGGTTATTTTGAAAGTTGACTTAAGAAACTGAATATTGATTTTCGTTGTCTGTAATATAGCTTTGCCTTATATTTTAGGAAGATGCAGATGATGGACATAAAAACAACCTTCTTCCTCAGATTATTCAGTGTTTTGCGTGTCCAAATTGCTTCCTCCTTTTTAGCAGCAAGGATGAGTGTTTGAAGCATATGTCTGGAAAGAATCATTTCCATCAGAGTTTTAAACTGGGTGGTATGTTCATATTCTCTTCTGATGAAAATTATTAAACTCCTTTAACCTTTGCTGATTTACTGTACATCTCAGATAATTCTTGAGATAACTTATTTTTATATTAATTTTGGGAACCATGAAAGTGAAAGATTGTTTATCTCAGTTTTATTTTTCAAAAAGATTCTTAGTATTTATCTGTATCTTAAGAGTAAGGTTTACTTTGAGGAATGAAGACAAATTTGGCAAGAAAACATTTAGGCACAATGGGAAGTTGGGTGTTTCCCTGCATTTAAACTCAGATTTTAGTTTGAGCATGAGTTCAGCATCCATTACACTTAATTGAAGCTAGAAAATTACTTTTCTTAGATTTTTATCACATAAATAACTATCTTCTTTCATTTACTAATCAGATGTTGAGGAAAGCAGAGGGGAGGAAGGCCGGGTCACTCCACTCAAATCTTTGCAAATTATAGTTCATTTTGTCTTTCAGATGACAAGACAGTGGCACAGCCAATATCATTTCCATCTTTTGCAAAGAAACTTTTGATCTCTCTGTGCAAAGATGTTCCATTTCAAGTTAAGTGTGTGGCCTGCCACCAGACCCTGCGTTCCCACATGGAGCTTACTGCCCATTTCAGGTTTGTACTGTCCTGCCCAAACAGCAGGGGATTCAGCAATTGGTTTTCTGTTCTGTGTTTCTCTCCTTTAAAATGAGAGTGGAAAAAAATAAAATAAAATAAAATGAGAGTGGAAATTTGCCTGGACATTACCCAAATTTACCATAATAAGAGGAGAGGTGTGAGAAAAGTGGATTCATTGACACTGCTGTAGATGTAAAACAAGCTGACAGTTCTGAGTTTTGTGTGGGTTGTTGAGGGTTGTGCCTGTGGGAGGAGGAGGTTAAGACAGAATGTTGGCTTTGAGTCAGCTAGCATGGAAAGTATGACAAACGTGTGAAAAATTGCATGTCAGTTAGGCCAAATTGATCAAATAATCGAGTGTGATGTTTTTGTCTTTACAATGAAAATTATCAAGGAATATACAAAAGTAATGAGAGTATAATAAGCCCTAATGCATCTGTCACTAGGCTTCAGTAGTTATCACTACATGATACTGTCATCCCTGTGAATTTTTACTTTTGAAGCAAATCTTGTCATTTTATCTGTAAATACTCCAGGATATACCTAGGCATCATAAGCGCTCTTTTTTTTTTTTTTAAAGAAAAATAACTGTAATACCATGATACCTGAAAAACTAGTTTTTTAATATCATCAAACATCTAATCAGTTATCAAATTTTCCCTGGTCACTTCATGAAGTTTTTTACATTTGGTTTGTTGGAATCATAATTCAAAGACTGTACTTTGCATTTGATGCTCTTAGGTCTCCCCCCTTCTTATTTCCTTAAAATGCATTAAAAGTTTGTATCTAGTAAGTGATATAGTTGCATTTGTTTACTTAGAACAATTGTTTTCACAAACTTTCAAGTAAAATACATTCTCAAAAAAACAGGCAGCTGAGTATAATTACTCTGTATAAACTCTGTGTAATTAGTGATGTTAACAGTCCTAGTTCTGACTTGTATTTCTTGAGTTCATGAGTTCAAATCCTCGTCCTGCCAGGATTTTTATTCTTAATTTTTTCATGGAAAATTTCACTGTATGCGCGTCAACAGACTAGTATAGTGAACCCTATTTATCCAACTTTGATAATGGTCAGCACTGCCATTCTTACATATCTGTATGCACCTTACCACGCTTAATGATTGTTTATAGTTCTTTGTTTCTGACATATTATTTCAATTTATTGAAGTATACAGATCTTAACCTTTGATTTTTTTTCATGTGTTTTTCATTTCTAGCCCTCTGCCCCCTTAACCTTTATGATTTGCAGACTGGATACAGCTGTCAGCCCATCCTCCCCTTCCTGGTCATCTCCCACCCTCTCGTCCCCAGGCAGTCTGTTGCGATATTTTTCCTCCCTTACATTGATTTATCTCCTCTAGATCCTCATGTAGATGGAATCATGTATATAGTATGCACTCTTTTGTTTTTGTCATAGTATCTGTAAGATTCATCCATGTTGTTTAGTTAATTGTTCTTTTTTATTTGTGAGTAGTAGTCTATTGTATGAATATATCACAATTTGCATATTCATTCTCATGTTGGTGGACCTTTTTTTTTTCAGTTTTTAGCTGTTGTGAATAAAGCTATTATGTACATTTTATACAAAGTATTTTATAGGCATATGTTTTCATTTCTCTTGGATAAATATCTAGGATTGGAATTGCGAGATCAAAGAGTAGATGTGTATTTAATTTTATAAGTCTCTACTCGACATTTTCCCAGTGTGTACTGGTGCATGTTCTACCAGCCAGGTGTGAGAGTTGCAGTTTTTCTACATCCTTGCCAAGGTTTGCTGTTGCCAATCTTGTTTCATTTTAGTTGTTCTTTTGAGAGTCTCATTGTGCTTTTAATCTGGATTTCCCTGATGAACAGTGATGTTGGACACTTCTTAGTGTAAAAGCAGCCGTGAGCATGGCGTATTCCTGACGTAAAAGCAGTCCATTCTTAAAGAACAGGCCCCAGGTTGTTGAGAATGTCGCTGTCGTGTCCCTCTGTGCTGTTGAACTTACGCAGAGCAGTCAGTTACCTGCTTGTCTCACAGCGTTTCTGTCAGTGCGCTTTACATCGTTTCTACTTCTCTAAAATTTGTCTGGATTTAAAAAAAATTTTTTTGATTCTAGTTTTATCCTTTGGTATATGGATTAATACCAGACAAAATCTAGATAATGTTCAGGTAGATAGGATATTATTATATCATCTGTCTCTTTGTTGAAAAACAGTCTTTAGTGCTTATGTGCACATGTTTACTTAATAATTACTACAATAAAAAGCAGAGATACTGCATTTAGAAATACTTACAAGTTTTATCTTTTTGTCCAATTTAGAGTTCGTTGTCGAAATGCTGGTCCTGTAGCTCTAGCTGAGAAGAGCATTGCTCAGGTGGCAGAGAAATTCCTACTGAGAGGTTACTGTCCACATTGCAACCATGTCTTTGTGGATGAAACCAGTACCCGGAATCACAAGCAGAATTCAGGACACAAAGTCCGAGTCGTTAACTCAATGGAAGAATCAATCTTACTTTATTGCCACAGCAGTGAAGGGAACAAACCTCCTTCTGACTTGCACCTGTTGCAAGATGGGTCAAAATTTTCATCACTGAAAAGAAATATGTCCTCTCAAGAATCTAGCTCACAGGATTGCAGCACTGTTCCAAAAAAGAAGATGAATTTAGGAGTAAAAAGCCATGGGGGTGTGGTTTGTTTTCAGAAGGAAAGGTCACTTGTTAAAACCTGGTTTTGTGAATGCCATCAACGCTTCCCGAGTGAAGATGCAGTAGAAAAGCATGTTTTCTCAGCAAACACAATGTGTTACAAGTGTGTGGTCTGTGGGAAGGTGTGTGAAGATTTGGGAGTCATCCGTTTACACATGAGCCGCATTCATGGAGGGGCACATTTAAATAACTTTCTTTTCTGGTGTCGGACATGCAAAAAGGAGTTGAGGAGGAAAGAGGCTATAATGGCCCATGTGACTGAATTTCACAGTGGACACAGGTATTTTTATGAGACGGATGAGGTGGAAGGTGACACTTTGCCATCATCCTCTACAGCACTGAGGACTGATCTGACTGCTGAGAATCCTTCGGCTATTACTATTGTTGATCACTCCCCAGCAAGCGGTCCTCCAAGGGGTAAATGGCAATGCCGAATTTGTGAAGATATGTTTGACTCCCAAGAATGTGTAAAGCAACACTGCATGTCTTTAACAAGTCACCAGTTTCACAGGTACAGCTGCACCCATTGCAAAAAGACTTTTCACAAGATGGAAACATTACACCGCCATTGCCAAGATGAGCACGACAGTGAGGTAAAGATGAAGTACTTTTGCGGGCTCTGCGATCTGAGTTTTAACACGGAAGATGAGTTTTTGACTCATTATAAGGAGCACCACAGCACAGACTATGTATTTGTGTCAGAAAAAACGGAACCTTCCATTAAAACGGAGAGTGATTTTCCAGTAATAGAGACGGGTAATCTGCTGACCTGCGGCTGCCGCGAGAGCTACCTCTGCAAAGTTAACAGGCGGGAGGACCATGGCCGCTGTCTGCAGACCCTGCTGGGCCAGGGCCGCCTGTGGTTCCGCTGTGGCGTTTGCTCAGCCACAACTCAGAGCCTCGGTGACCTGCACACGCATGTGCGCCAGGTGCATGCGGACCTGGAGGCCCCACCGCGGGGCCTCATTAAGTGCGGCACGTGCACCAAGGCCTTCCAGGACCCCGAGAGCGCGCAGCAGCACTTCCACAGGAAGCACTGCTCGCTGCGGGGGCCCGTCGGGGCCTGCTTTGCGGCCGAGCCCAAGAGCCCACCACCCGCCCGGGCAGAGAGGAAGCCCAGACAGACCGCAGGCGGGCTGCAGACTGCAGAACCGGAGAGAGCCGCTGAGACGGAGCTGAGCGGCCAGAGCGCAGGTGCGTCCCACGTGCTGGTGATTGATAGGTGTGCGCCAGGGGGCAGCCCGCCTGCGGTGGGGTGAGATGGGGGTGATCAGTACTGCCCTGGGTACAGAGATCTGTGTTCCCGCCGCTTCGTGCAACTACCATCTTAACCTGAGGGGACAAAGGATACCTGTTACACTAACAGGTATTTTAGATAACGTTTTCTTTTCCAAAAGACTTGGGAATTTTGAAAGATAAGGAAAATGGATGGTCTTTCTGAAAGTCAGATTTGAAAGTTACACTGCAGGTTACTATCATTTAGACTGAAATTCAGTAAAAAGATTTCAGTGATTTCTTTTTGTTTCTATTTTGGCCTTATTCTATGAGAAATCTTAAAGGTCACTTGAGAATTTATTTTCGTTCTCCTTTTTGGAAGCAAAGCTTTTACTTAGAGGTAAAATAGCAATTAGAAATGGAGTTTTTTAAGTGGAAACAAGAAACCAGGCAGAACACTGAGGTGTGGATTACTCTAGACTTTCCTTCTATGATAAGATTGAAGAACTCTACAAGAGTGCAATGTTTTTATTTTGTTTAGAAGTATGATTGTTTCCTTTTGAGTATAACTTTAATTATGTATTCTTTTAAATAAAAATTAATTCTAAATTATGCAGTGTAGAGTGGAAAAATGAGGATATGTAAAAGTTTCTGCTAATAAAGTATTGTTATGAACTACTGAATTTTTAGACTTGCTCTGTCGCACAGGTAGCTCTTGGCATCACCATTAGGCATGTGTTTTATGATGATTAAATGATATACTCCAGCCCCATTCAACTCTTCTTCTACCAGTGAAACCATGGCCATACTGTTTAATGTTCTGTTTTTTCCTTTTGGGGAATTTGTGTTGGTCTGTGTTTGACAGGAGGTCATTGTCATATCTAAATCTAAATTACTGAGTATTTTAAGAAGAGAGATAAGAAAATATGTGTTTTAGAAATGAGAAAGAATGGCAGACTCTTTCTGAGGCAGTCTTTATTAGGTGGAGTAGAAGCTGTCTGTTTTTAAAAGAATGTTTTAAACATTCAGGGTTTTCATTGCTACTGGGAAACTGTAAGACCCTATCAAAGTGGAGAGGTGTGACAGGAGGGTAGAGGAGGGGGAACAAGAGCTGGAGAGGGTCAGGGCAGAGAGGCCCTGGGGGAGCAGAGAAGAGGTGTCCTTGGAGGGAGGTGCCCAGGAGCAGTGTGTGGGGGGGCTCGTGTCTGCATAGCGCCAGCATAGCACATGCATAGCATAGACAGTATGCATAGCATACAGCCAGAGGCGTGCCAATGGGTCAGTCCACGTTAGGAAAAGAACAGACTCCTGGTAGCAAGAAAGTTCTTAGCAAGTAACCTCTAAAGTTTATTTTGATGAGTAGTGCGAGTTTTAGTTATTTAGCCTTAAAGCTTGGTCTTCTAGATCTTCCAGTACATTAATTTTTTAAAAAAATTTCCTTTATAAATGACTTTTAAAGAAAGCCAGGATCGGTGGCACATATTTGTAGAAAGGACAATTATTTCTGAAATATTCAAAATATTTTTATCTGATATAAATATACTGTGTCATTTGGATTTCACAACATGGCTTAGACAGAAGTAAAAAAACATTGCAAGATTAATGTTAAGCTGACAAGTTGAAAAGCTTTTAGCTAATTCTTCTCAAATTCCTGTCGATGTTTCTTTTTTCTCAGATGAAGAGGTTGTTGAGCTCCCAGACTTGGATTACCTGCGAACTATGACTCACATAGTCTTTGTCGACTTCGATAATTGGTCCAACTTTTTTGGTCACCTACCAGGGCATCTTAACCAAGGAACATTTATTTGGGGCTTTCAAGGTATGGCAATAAGAAAAACATTTGAGGCAACCTCTCCCACTCCCAACACACACCTTAGAATATGTTTTGCTTTAAAAGGACTCTTCTTGGACCTTCCTGAATAGGAGGTAGAAACAAAATTGAAATTTTGTCACCTTGCATTATAGTTACAGTGCTAGAATATTTTTCTCCTTGCATTTCTCTGTGATAGGTGTTAGCTCTTTTTGGTGGACCCATAGTTTATAGATCTTTAGCTACAGATTGAAAGAGCCTTTTTATTCACTGCCTACAGTATGCCAGGAACTGTTGTGTCTGATTCTTTGTGACCCAGTGGAGTGTCACTAGCCAGTCTCCTCTGTCTCTGGAATTCTCCAGGTAAGAATACTGGAGTGGGTAGCCATTTCCCTTCTCCAGGGGATTTTCCTTGACCGAGGGATTGAACCTGGGTCTCCTGCAGTGCAGGCAAATTCTTTACCACCTGAACCACCAGGGGAGCCCATGCTTACTGATTATTACAGTTTTCTCCCTTTAAATATAAGGAATTAGGCTGAGAAGTTTATTTTTTTTTTTGCAAAGTATAAAGATAATAGAGTTAGCTTTTGAACTTGGACTTTGTAGGTACAGAATTGCTGTGTTTCCTACATAACTGACTCTTCAGTTCTTCCTTACTGTTTATAAATGTGCATCTTTGTATAAATCTCCCATTCAGGCACTAACCAGGTTCAGCTTCTCAGATGACATGAGATCGGGTGCATGCAGGTTGGTTTGGCCATACACTAAATCTCTTTATAAGCCATTGACCAAACCTGGGAGAGATACTTCTCTTTGATTAACTGAGATTTAGTACAGTGAGCCTCTTATGTATAGGCACACCCTGTTGATACTGCAGTTTCAGTTCCAGACTGCTGCAAGTCACACGAATTTTTTGGTTTCTCTATGCATATAAAAGTCATGTTTACACTATACTGCAGTCTATTAAGTGGGCAAGAACATTATGTCTTAAAATATGTCTTAATTGACACACGTCTTATTGCTATAAAATGCTAACTGTTACCTTAGCCGTCAGTAAGTCATAATCTTTGAGCTGGCGGGGGTGATATCTTGCCTCCATGTTGATGGCTGTTGGCTGATCTGGGTGGTGGTTGCTGAAGGTTGGGACGACTGTGGCAATTTCTTAAAATGAGACAGCAATCAGGTTTGCTGCATTGACTGACTATTCCTTTTGTGAATGATTTCTTTGTAGTCTGCAGTGCTGTGTGATAGCGTTTTACCCACAGTAGAACTTCTTTCAAAACTGGACTCGATCCTCTGAAACCCTGCTGCTGTTTTATCAACTAAGTTTATGTAACATTCCAAATCCTTACTTGTCACTTCAACAGTCATCACAGCATCTTCACTAGGGTAGATTCCTTCTCAAAAAACCACTTTCCTTGCTCATCATCCGTTAAAGGTTTATCATGAGATTGCAGCAGTTCACTCACATCTTCAGACTCTACTTCTAATTCTAGTTCTCTTGCTCTTTCCACCACATCTGCAGTTCCCTTCTCTACTGAGTTCTTGAACCCCTCGAGTCATCCGTGAGAGTTGGAATCAACTTGTTCCAAACTCCTGTTGCTGTTGGTATTTTGACCTCTTCACATCTTCCCAATCACGAGTTTTTTTTTAACTTTAAAATTTTCATTTTGTATTGGTGTATAGCCAATTAACAATGTTGTGGTAGTTTCAGGTGAACAGCAGAGGGACTCAGCCATGCATATACATGTATCCATTTTCTCCAAGACCTCCTCCCTTCCTGGCTGGCACACACAACATTGAGCAGAGTTCCACGTGCTATACAAGAGTTCCTGTTGGTTATCCATTTTAAATAGCAGTTTGTACACACCCTTCCCAAAGTCCCTAACTTTTCCTTTCCCTGGTAACCATAAGTTCCTTTTCTAACTCTATGAGTCTCTTTCTGTTTTGTAAGTTCATTTGTATCACTTCTTTTTAGATTCCACATGTAAGGGATGTCATACAGCATTTCTCCTTCTCTGTCTGACAGACTTCACTCAGGATGACATTCTATAGGTCCATCCTTATTGCTGCAAATGGCATTATTTCACTCTTTTTAATGGCTGAGTAATACACCATTGTATATATGTACCACATCTTGTGTAGCCATTCCTCTGTTGATTGATGTTTAGGTTGCTTTCATGTCTTGGCTATTGTAAACAGTGCTGCAATGAGTGAAGGACAGGGGTGTGTGTCTCCTTTCAGATCGTGTTTTTCTCCAGCTTTATGCCCAGGAGTGGGATTGCAGGGTCATATGGTAGCTCTCTTCAGTTTTTTCAGGAACCTCCATACTGTTATCCATACTGGCTGTACCAGTTTACATTGCAGCCAAGAGTATAATAGGTTTCCCTTTTCACCACCCTCTTTCCAGCAGTTTGTGTGTTTTTTGAAGATAAATAACTGTTGTCACTGGTGTGAGGTGATACCTCATTGTAGTTTTCATTTGCATTTCTCTAATACTTAGAGATCCTGAACATCTTTTCATAGGCCTATCTGTATGTCCTCATTGGAGAAATGTATATTCAGGTCTTTGGCTCATTTTTTGACTGGGTTATTTGTTTTGATGCTGTTAAGCGTCATAAAATATAAATTTTGGAGACTAATCCCTTATCAGTCACATCATTTGCAAATATTTTCTCCCATTCTGTGGGTTGTCTTTCATTTTGTTTATTGTTTCCTTTGCTGTGCAAAAGTTTTTGAGTTTAAGTAGGTTGCATTTGTTTATTTTTGTTTTTATATCATTATTCTGGGAGATGGATCAAAAAAGATGCTCCTGTGATTTATGTTAGAGCATGTTCTGCCTATGTTTTCCTCTAAGAGTTTTATATAGTCTGGTCTCACATTAAGATCTTTAGTCCATTTTGAGCTTATTTTTGCATATGGAATTAAGGAGTAAGCTAATTTAATTTTTTTACATGTCACTGTCCAGTTTTCCCAGCACCATTTGTTGAAGAGACTGTCTTTCCACCATTGTGTAAACTTGCCTACTTTGTCATGGATTAGCTGGCCATAAGTGTTCGGGCTTATTTTGGGTTTTCTGTCCTGTTCCATTGATGTATATTTCTATATTTATGCCAGTACCATACTGCTTTGATAACTGTAACTGCATTGCTGTTCAGTTGCTCAGTCGTGTACAACTCTTTGCAACCCCACAGACTGCAGCTCACCAGGTTTTCCTGTCCTTCAGTGTCTCCCAGAGTTTGCTCAAACTCATAACCATTGAGTTGGTGATACATTCCAACCATCTCATCGTCTCTCATCCCCTTCTCTTCCCACCTTCAGTCTTTCCCAGCATCAGGGTCTTTTCCAATGAGTTGACCCTTCGCATCAGGTGCCCAAAGTATTGGAGCTTCAACTTCAGCATCAGTTCTTCCAATGAATATTTATGGTTGATTTCCTTTAGGATTGACTGGTTCAATCTCCTCACTGTCCAAGGGACTCTCGAGAGTCTTCTCCACCACCACAATTAGAAAGCATCAATACTTTGGAGCTCGGCCTTCTTTATGGCCCAACTCTCACATCCATACATGACTACTGGAAAAACCATAGCCTTGACTAGACAGACCTTTGTCAGCAGAGAGATGTCACTGATTTTTTAATATGCTGTCTAGGTTTGTCATAGCTTTTCTTCCCAGGAGCAAGTGTCTTTTAATTTCATGGCTGCGGTCACTGTTCACAGTGATTTTGGAGCCTAGGAAAAAAATCTGTCACACTTTCCATTTTTACTCCATCTGATGGTTTGCCATGAAGTGATAGGACTGGATACTATGATCTTAGTTTTCTGTATGCTGGGTTTTAAGCCAGCTTTTTTCACTCTCTCACCCTCATCAAGAGTCTCTCTAGTTCCTCTTCACTTTTTGCCATTAGGGCGGTGTCATCTGCATATCTGAGGTTGTTGATATTTCTCCCTGTGATCTTGATTCTGTCTTGTGATTCATGCAGCCCATATTTTGCATGATGTACTCTGCATATTATATCTACTAATGTGGGCAGGAATGCCTTAGAAGAAATGAAGTAGCCATCATAGTCAAGAGAAGAGTCTGAAATGCAGTACTTGGATGCAGTCTCAACAATGACAGAATGATCTCTGTTCGCTTCCAAGGCAAACCATTCAATATCACAGGAATCCAAGTCTATTCCTCAACGAGTGATGCTGAAGAAGGTGAAGTTCAACAGTTCTATGAAGACCTACAAGACATTCTAGAACTAACACCCAAAAAACATGTCCTCTTCATTATAGGGGACTGGAATGAAAAAGTAGGAAGTCAAGAAACACCTGGAGTAACAGGCAAATTTGGCCTTGGAGTACACAATGAAGCAGGGCAAAGGCAAATAGAGTTTTGGCAAGAGAATGCACTGATCATAGCAAACACCCTCTTCCCACAACACAAGAGAAGACTCTACACATGGAGATAACCAGATGGCCAACACGAAAATCAGATAGATTATATTCTTTGTAGCCAAAGATGAAGAAGATCTATATGGTCAGCAAAAAACAAGACCAGGAGCTGACTGTGGATCAGACCATGAACTCCTTATTGCCAAATTCAGACTGAAGTTGAAGAAAGTAGGTAAAACCACTAGACCATTCAGGTATGGCCTAAATCAAATCCCTTATGACTGTACAGTGGAAGTGACAAATAGATTCAAGGGATTAGATCTGACAGGCAGAGAGCCTGAAGAACTATGGACGGAGGTTCGTGACATTCTATAGCAGGCAGGGGTCAAGATCATTCCCAAGGAAAAGAAATGCAAAGAGGCAAAAGGGTTGTCTGAGGAGGCCTTACAAATAGCTGTGAATAGAAGAGAAGCGAAAAACAAAGGAGAAAAGGAAAGGTATACCCATTTGAATGCAGAGTTCCAAAGAATAGCAAGGAGAGATAAGAAAGCCTTCCTCGTTGATCCATGCAAAGAAATAGAGGAAAACAATAGAATGGGAAAGTCTAGAGATCTCTTCAAGAAAATCAGAT